CTTCAAGTTTAGGTCTGCTTCTTTTTGTGAACTTTATGTACGTTTGTGGTTGACTTTTTGGGCATGAAAAGCTGGTTCCTCTAAGCTTCCGGTTCTCTCTTTTGATTTTATATTGGAGTGGCCGGATTGCTTTTGTCTTCAGGAGTTCCCACAGAGGCCCAAGTCAGATGAGGATCAAATGCTCTCAGGCTTTCTCCTAAGGTCTGGATCCCTCCAGGAAAGATTTTGGCCTCAGGAATTTGGGGGTTGGACTGGTCTGGGAGCAGGGACCAGTAAAGATGCTGGTCTCGGGCAGCTGGTGGCCATGCCACCCAGAGATGCAAAGGAAGATGGGGGGTGGGAAGAGGCCCCAAGGGCTCCTGGAGACTGCACTGAAGAACTGGGTTGATCTGGATGCAAAGGATCAGGAAGCAGTGGTGGTGTGTGTGTGTGTGTGTGTGTGTGTGTCCCCGTGTCACCAAGACAAGGAATGGGACCGGACCCAGGCTAGGAGAGACCAGGCTAGATGGGGGAGATGGGAGGGTGAATGGGGCTGGGGGAATCAAGGTGGTGGGAAGGCGCGTTCGACTTACCCTGGAGAGAGGCGGGGGGGGGGGGGGGGGGGGGGGGGGGGGGGGGGTACAGGGCCAGTGAAGCAGAGGGAGGTGAGGGCAAGACCAGGCCCAGTGGGCTTCTGGGAACCTCAAGAAGGAACTCGGTCCGTCTGGATGCAAGGGATCAGAAACCAGTGGTGGCCCTTGGCCGAGAGTTCAGCTCTGGCTTCCAGATAGGAGCAAAACCACGGAATCTTATAGGCTTTTCCTTTTCCATATTTGAAATGCACACACCATCCATCTCCCGCTCCAGATCTTTTCTGCTTGGTGTTCCCCCAGGTCCAATATAGTGGCAGTGGCTCCACCCCTTAATGGGCTTGACTCCTTCTGCAGAGCAAGGGAAGGAGGTAGAACCATGGCTTATCAGAGGAACATCCGGGTCACAGTCCTCTAATCCTGCTCTCAGCCCCTGCCTCACCACTCAGCCTGTCCAAGAGGACTTTCCCACTAGACATTCTTTGAGTTAAAAGTTTCTTTTATATTTTTTAATATTTTCTTTATTATTTATATATTTTTTATTTGTTACTTTTATTTTATGTTTTTGCATGTTTTGCCTGTGTGTAGGTAAGTTCACCTGTGTCATGTAATGGCCGCGGAGGACAGAAGAGCCTGTCAGATCCCTGGAACTGGAGTTAAGAACAGTTGTTAGCTGCCATGTGGGTTCTGGGATTTGAACCCAGGTCTTCTGGAAGAACCAGATGATGGAGCCATCTCTCCAGGACCTGAGTTAAAATATTTTTAACTCTTCTTTTCTTTTAAATGTACATGTCTACCTGGATGGAGAAACTCAATAAGAAAGATTTTAGCCCTCTCATTAAGAACTTGCCGAGAATATATAACTCAAAGGCACTAACACCAAAGGATTCCTGGGAGGATGGCAGAGGATTGTTCCCAGCCTGATTTGTTTTGGTTTAAGATGAGGCACGGAAGTAGAGGGTTCTGAGTACCCAGGGAGCAGCCGTGCTCTGGCTGTTCTCACTTTCATTTTACTCAGCACATTACAGTCATTAAAAACTAGCTGACTGGGGCTAGTGAGATGGCTCCATAGGTAAAGGCTCCTGCCACGAAGCCTTGAGACTGAGTTCAAGCCCAGGAACTCACATAGTGGAAGGAGAGCACCTACTCCCACAATTATTTGTCTTCAAATCTCCACAGGTCCCCACACATACACTAAATAACCAAATTCTAGCTGATTCATTCCTGATGCAAAATTCCCCTTGGGTATTAAGCCAGCCCCATCAAATTTAATACTTCAGGGGACTAAATACAAAAAAGCCTCCTTTCACTATCACAGTTGGGACTGTCCATCATGAACATCATCACAAGCACCAGCCTGAGCTTCCTGTCTCCACTCGCCATGATTTGTAGGGAGAAAGCCAGAGTTTAAAGCAAGAGATCTTGAATCTCCTTAAAACTACACACTGATTTGTTATGAGAGAAAAATGAAACTGATTTAAAAAAAAAAATACCATGAGCTCTCTTTGCCCCCCATGCTTATGAATCACTGTTTCAAAATAAAAGCTCTGAAACAAAATTAGTACATGTCTCAGAGAAATTTTGTTATCATAAACATAGCCAAATAATGTCAGATACTGTGCATGTCTGTATGTATGTGATTTAAAGAGTTTTCTTTTTTAAAAAGTATTTAACTGGTCTGTAATTTTTAGAAAATATTTTATTTATTATTTTTATGTGTATGAGTATATTGCCTGCATGTATGTGAGTACACCCGTGTCATACAATGCTGCGGAAGTCAGAAGAGGACTTCAGATTTCCCTGGAACTGGAGTTAAGGATGGTTCGTAGCTGCCATATGGGTGCTGGGAATCAAACCCGGGTCCTCTGCAAGAGCAATCAATGCTCTTAACCACTGAGCCATCTCTCCAGCCCCCAAAAATATTTAACTGGTCTGTAATGTTTTTAACTCATGAGATAATCAGTTAAGAATTTCTGATCTATTAAATCTTTAAAACAATTATTTAAGATTTACTTCCTTAAAAGGGCTTAAACTATTTAAATAATATTAAAGGACTCACACGGCTTTCATTTTTACAATGCTAGACCATTTTATTTTTAAAAATAAAATTGAGCAAAAGTCCTATTTGGGACCCCAAGTTAGACTATGACACAGAAAATACTGAGTGGCATAGAAATTATCTTACCCCAGTTCCATTCTGACCTTCTATTTCATGACTACTTTAAAAATATAGTTAATTCTATGTTTAAAAGCACATTATTTATTACGTGAACTAAAGCAGTAATTTCTTTCTGTTAATACCAATTGTTAAACATTGCAGCACAGAATATAGGAACAGGAGAGAAAGAACCATACCAGACCTCAGATGGGGCTGCATTTTTTCAAAGGGTAAAGCAAGAGACAGTTACCTTCCTGCATGCTGGAGGCAACTGTGCTGTGAATCAGGAGAGTTAGAGATCATACAGGGGCTAAGGCATGAGGAAGTGGATGCAGCTGCAGGGCTCTATGTGTCTCATCTTCTGGGGCCCCTTGCTCAAGCAGAACATGCTGTCTTGAGCAATAGCCTGTCTCCAATAGTTCTCCCTGAGTTCTGGGAGTGGTCAATCCTGGTGTGATTTATTGATGAGGTTAGTAGCAGTCTCAGCGTCAATAAGGAGTCAATAAGGATTTAGTGGCAGAAGTGGGAGAGGAGCTGGTTAGTCCAGTCCTCATTCTAGGTGTCCAGGTCCTTCAAGGTTCTGGTCATGTCCTCAGCATGTCTTCCAGGAGTAGGATATTTTTTCTGGAAAAAGAGAGAGGTATGAGAAAACAAAAACAAAAACAAAAACAAAACAAACCTTCATATTGGTCTCCCCAGCCTCTAGCTATAGCAAAACTAGACACATTTTTGGAATGGATAGTTCTGACATCCCTAGCCTCAGGTAGGGACAAACTTACTCCCAGATCCAAGGGAATTTCCAACTCTCAGTCAGAAAGAAACTGGTCATTGTTCCCTTGGGGTCTTAACCTTAAAGTACCTGGCCAGTTTGTACCTCCTGATCTCATTACTCCTCCCTCTGAAGAGGAAGCCCTAAATGTCAATAGGAAACTTGGATGTCTGTTGTTCTGGTTTCTTCCATGCTGAATAGGGGCACAGAGTGTGCACTGGGATACCTCTTCAGTGAGTCTATCTAAAAGACCCTAAAAGTGTATAACTGTTAGCTATACTGAGAAAAGAAAGTCCTTGACTGGTGACTGGGAATAGATGTGAAGGAGAAGTAAAGGCAGGAGCTGTTAGACACAAGTTCTAGGCAGGGAACCAAGAGAAGTCAGAATGGTGAATTTTAAATGTCTAAAGTCCATTAGAGAGTTGTAAACATGTCTATATATTCATATCAGTCCTACAAAATAAATACTGTGGTTAGGCATAATGTTATGATAAACTAGTTTCAAAAAGACAAAACCTTGACATCTTGGTAAAAATTATGATTAGGGGGCTGGAGAGATGGCTCAGCAGTTAAGAGCATTGACTGCTCTTGCAGAGGACCCAGGTTCAATTCCTAGCACCCACATGGCGGTTAGGAACTGTCCTTAACTCCAGTTCCAGGGGAATCTGAAGCTTTCTTCTGACCTCCACAACATTGCATGACACAGGTGCACTCACACACATGCAGGCAATACACTCATCCACATAAAATGAAAATAACAAATAAAATATTTTAAAAATTATGATCAGAATAAAATGTGATTCTGAGATTTAAAACAGTCAAAATGATAATCTTTCATAGTTTACACAGTACTGTGAGTCTGTGAGTCTCTAGAGCACATTTTTTCATTATAAATTGAAATATGAACACATTGAAAATTACTGATTTTAGTGATGACACCAGTTTTGATCTTATTTTATACTATTATTTTCATTACAAAAGTTGCACAAACTATTAATCATCTGATTGGTCTTCAATATTTTATAAGTGTATATAAAAGAAATTCTTAAAAGCCAACAGTATTACACACACACACACACACACGAGAATCTCATCTCAGAAATGACTGCACTGAACAGAGTCATACACACCAATGCTAAACATAGGGCTTCACTTGAAAGTATTTTCAGAAACCATTTACATTCTAATATGGTAAATATTCCCAACTGGGTTTCAAACTCAACAGGTGATGGATAACAGAATTATACACTTCATTTGTACTTAAAGTTAACCATAACCAAAAGTTACAGTATGATTAAAACAAGCTGATGTTTAAAAAGTTTTAATTAAAGACAATTCTATTAAAGGAGAGGTTAAAGAATGGAATGACAAGAAGTATTTGGTCTTAATAAGGCAATACAGAATCAATCCATTAAGACAATTTAATTTTTTAACGATCACTTAAACAACCAGCTCAGATACCATTTGTATAAACAATTAGCACTTAAAAGTTTTGTGAAACATTTAATAGACCTAGAGGCATTGTTTAATAAATTTAAAGATGTTTAGGGTGCCCAAATTTATAAGGCAAATGAATACATCATTAAAATATCCATATTTATAAATCTGCACATGTGTATTTTGATTGGGCCTGTCAAAAATAAAAACAAAAATAAAACTAATAATTTTATTCACAATAAAAAAAATGATCAAGGAAAAGACTGAAGTGGCCACAGTTTAAAATTGTCTTGACACAAATAACATATAAAGACGATCATCATAGACAAACATGACAAAATTACTCCAGATCTCTTTATTTTTTAAAAATTTTATTTATTTTTATATTTTTTATTTTCATTTTATGTGTGCGCATGTATTGTCTGCATGTAGGTGAGTGCAGCCGTGTCATGCAATGCCCGTGGAAGTCAGAAGAGGTGATTGGATCCTCTGGAACTGGATTTATAGACAGTTGTTAGCTGTCATGTGGGTACTAGGATTTAAACCCAGGTCTTCTGCAAGAACAACCAGTGTTCTTAACTCCTGAGCCATCTCTCCAGCCCCTCCCCACTTTTTTTTTTAATGTGTATGTGTGTTGCCTGCATGTAGGTCAGTGCACCCGTGTCGTGCAATGCCTGCGGAGGTCAGAAGAGGCTGTCAGATCCCCTGGGACAGGAGTTATGGACAGTTGTTAGCTGTCATGTGGGTGTTGGGATTTGAACCCAGGTCTTCTGTAAGAACAACCAGTGCTCTTAAACACTGAGCCATCTCTCCAGTCCCCTCTTTATTTTTTAAAATATTTTATTTTTATTTTACGTGTATGTGTGTATTGCCTGCATGTAGTTAAGTGCACCCGTGTCATGCAATGCCAATGGAGGACAGAAGAGGCTGTTGGATCCCCTGGAACTGGTGTTATGGACAGTTGTTAACTCCCATGTGGGTGCTAGGATTCAAACCCGGTCTTCTGCAAAAACAACCAGTGTTCTTAACCACTGAGCCATCTCTCCAGCCCCTTGAGATCTCTTTAAAAAGCAGGTGAGTATTACACAAAGTAGTCAGTTTTAGAAACCAGTAAACATACCATACAAAGTTAACACTCAAAACAATGTTTCTAGAAACAGGTTAAAATGATGTAAAAGCCCAAAGCAGTTTCAAAAGCTAACTAACAACTGAATGAAATAAAGATAAGAAAGAGGAATTAAATAAAGAAAAATACTAAAGGAGAAATATAAGAGATGAAACACACAGTCAAATTAATAAAAGTTCTGTGGGAATTCTCACCAACAGAACGGATTAAGAAGAGGACATGGCCCTGTAACTGTGGTGAGTCACCTGTCCTCTTGATCAAGGAGGCCATGGACCCCATCAAATGGACTTGAACCAGTGTCCAGTCTACAAAGAGGAGGGTCAACACAGAGGAAACATTTCCTCCATGCTTTTTTTTTTGGCTGTTCTTGCAGAAGACCCGGGTTTGAATCCCAGCACCCACATGGCAGCTAACAACTGTCCATAACTCCAGTTCCAGGGGATCCAGTAGCCTCTTCTGACCTCCACAGGTATTGCATGACATGGGTTCACTTACCTACATGCAGGCAATACATGCATACACATAAAAATGATAAAAAAATTTTTAAGGAAAGTATAACCAAAGATTAAAGGGGTCAATATAATTCTTTAATAGTCCATGTATATAGCTAAAGGCTACATAACAAGAAACAATGCCAGACAGGAGACACCTTCCTTTGAGTTGTTGGCCAGGGTGACCCAAGAGACTCCCAGACAGTAACCCAGCATAGAACTGGGAAAATGAACAGCAGACCCCAATCTTACTTACCTAAAGGAATATTGGCAACTAATTGTTGCTAAATGAGGAAGAGCCGATCTTCCTAAAACAAAGGCCTGTAGATAGACTGATTAGATTCAGCAGATGGACTAGCACTGGGGAACAGCTGGCGGCACTGATAACAAAATGGACAGTAACAGGGATGACAGAGTATTTGGGCTCCAGTGGGGGTTGGGGGGGAGCTATGGAGGGTGCCATTTGGGATGTGGGTGTATAGATGAATAAGATTGTTTGGGATGTTCTGTATGAAATACACACACAAAAATCAACAAATAAAAAAATTAGTTATATTTGAGAAGGAATCATAAAAATTTACTTCATGTTAATTAGTAGAGGTGAAAAACATTACCATTGAAATCTACCTAATGACTTTATATCCATACTCAGGTGCCAAGGATCTGAGTGTAACCAACTGTGACTAGTCATCATATACATAAAGATTAGAGATGCATGTGCAAACATCTAAGTGTTAGTAGCATTAAAAATGAGTTTGTGGTGCACGCCTGTAGTCCCAGCACTTGGGACGCAGAGGCAGGCGGATCTCCGTGAGTTCAAGGCCAGTACATAGTGAGTTCCAGGATAGCTGGGGCTACAGGGAGACCCTGCTTCAAAAAGACAAAAAAAAAAAAAGAGTTTTTCTGTATGAAATAGTATATTTTAAAATGAAATGGAGATCTTTTTTAAAGGTTAAAACATCATTCAGTTTTATGTCTTATAGGGTTTATACTGAGTTCAATATTGTATAACTGTATTAATTCAACTATGAGCCGAAAAATTTATAGCCAATTTTGAGAAATGCATCTTTGCTCTGGAAATTGTTATTGAATATATTAATGCTGTAATAAAATGCTTCTTCTAATCATGTGATTATTAAAGAAGAGGACATGGCAAGGATAAGATATAAGGAGGTATGAACAAAGTTCCCTGAAAGAAGTTGTAACTTTTTAAAAAAATTTTATTTATTTTTATTTTATGTGTATGCACGTATTGCCTGCATGTAGGTAGGTGCACCTGTGTCATGCAATGCCCATGGAGGTCAGAAGAGGCTGTCAGATACCCTGGAACTGGAATTACGGACAGTTGTTAGCTGCCATGTGGGTGCTGGTGTAGAACCCTGAGACCCTCTTCATTCACCCGCTACTCCCAATCCCTCCAGACCCCCACTAATTGCTCCTTTAGCTTCTGTAAAATGCTTGGCTGCTGCTTTAGACATGCCTAGACATGCCCTGGCATGCTCTGACCCCTGCCTGCTATTCCCCACCCCCCTTCCAGGAAACTATAGATTAAGCAAGCCCAGGCATGAAAACTGCCCTATAAGGTAAAAACAGAGAGTCCTGGTCTCACAGGTAACAGCACATTCCACAGCCCTGAGAATAGCACCTACCAATAAGAAACTTCCAGGGCTGCATCTTATACATCCAATCCGTTTAAAATTATATTGGCGCGCGGGCTCCTTGAACCAACCAAAATGTATCTTCGGTATCCCCCTCCCCCCCTTGTCTAAAACCTATAAAAGGCTCCACTCTCCCTTACTCT